AGTATATATTATGAAATTCATAATTTTTTTACTTGTTACAAATAACTCTATAGAGCTTCTAGTACTTAAACAATAGATTTTAAAAGCTAAGCAAAAAAGTATTGACATCAAAGAAATAATAAAAAGTAGTCTCACTACAGAAGATATTAAAAATCTTGTTTGAAAAAGAGAACCATTAAAAGATATGACAGAAAATAATTTTTTATAAGAATAGTTATAATAGTAATATACAAAAGTAAAGAAACATATTATACAAAAAAGAAAAACTGAGAACAAATTAAAAGTATACTATAAACAAAAAAAGCCTAATAATTAAAAAAATAAAAGAAAATGTTAGTATTGAAAGAGTAAAAAAACAGAAATAAAAAAAAGAAAAAGATATATCTATACTGATAGCCTGAATTAGTATCAAAGTATAGCCTGAAGTTTGCTAAAAGAAAGATATAAAATAAGCTAGAACAGAAAAGAAAAGAAGAAAATTAGTATTAGTTCAAAGAACAAGAAATAGTAAGAAAGTAAAATAAAAGAAGCAATAGTAATAAGAATAAAAGAAAAGAATATATCTATATTAAAATATTATCAAATAAGAAATTTTAAGATTAATATCAAAGTATAACTAATTAGTCATTAAGAAAACTTAAAATAGATAAGAAAGAAAAAATAGTTAGTAATAAAGTAAAGAAGAAATTAATAAAATAATAGAAATAGAATACTTTATCTGAAAGTCTTATATTTAATATAAAAGAAATTTAAAATTTGATAAGATTGTAAGCTTAATACAGAGATATAAGATGAAGTCAATAGAAAAGGACAAATTTTTTCTAAGTAAATATTTTTTCAAGTTTAGAATAAAATATTTCAACAACTACTAAAACAAATTTTATAAAAATTTTTTTATTTTAATAAGTTATAGATTTAAAATAAAAAAAAAAATTATTAAATTTGATAAGATTATTATTAAGATATTTTAATTTAAAAATAAAAAAATTTTACTGAAAATGATTTGTTTCTTTTCTATTAACTTCACTCTATATATAGTTATAATAAGATAGAATAGGATAAACTACTATGCAATAGGTCTGGAGTTCAAATCCTACTGTCAATAAATTTAAATAATTTTTTAGATCTTGTAATACATTAAGGTAAACTTTATTTATTTTTAAAGATATATTTTTGTAAATTGAGTTGTACCAAATTAATTAAAACTTGGAAATATAGTATAATATTATATAAATAAATCTTAATAGAATATATAAACAGAAGCTCTGCCTAGTAGAAATTCTGAGTTAATGAAGTAGTACAGTCTTCTGACAGAACTATATTAGCTAAAGTCTGATTTGGAAAGAAAACTTAGTCTAATAAAAGTAGAAAATTTTAAGGTTTCTAGGCAAAGGGTAACTAGAACTAGCTTGATACTAGAAAAGGACTAGGTCAACTGACTAGTAGAAGACTACAGTAGAACCTGGAGTTGTATAAATATCTACAAAGGTCTAAACTAAGTGAATCTGTAAAATAAGTACAGACTACTCTAGTAGGTTTGTTTTAAAGATAACTAGCTCTGCAATACTAGCAATATATCTAATATAATGTATTCAAAGAGGATTTAAGCTATTCTGAATAAATAGATCTATAATGAGCTAGTTAGCTTAAGTGGTTAGGTGTTGTAGTGATATTAGATTAGATCTATATAGGTTAATGAACAGAGTGTTTAAATAGGTAACTTACAGATGGGTTATAGATATAGTAGCATAGTGTAGAACCAATTAGGTAGTTTAATATCTATGTAGCAGACTACTTAAATTAGATAATAACTAAAATTATATATGTAGCTTGTTATATACTCTTTATATAATTACAAATAGTAGTTACAGTTATATTTCACTCAGAAATCTCAAAACTTTCTACCTTTATTAGACTAAGTTTTCTTCTCAAATCTGACTTTAACTAATGTAATTCTGTTAGAAGACTATACTACTTCACCAACTTAAAATTTCTACTATACAAGTCCTCTACTCATATATCCTATTAAAATTTATTTGTATAATATTATATCATACTTCTAAGTTCTGATCAATTTAGTATAACTCAATTTATAGAAATATACTCTAGAAACAAACAGGATTTACTGTAATATATCACAAAGTCTAGAAAATTATTTAAATTTGTTAACAGTATGATTTAAACTCTAGACCTATTGTATAGTAATCTGATAACCTAACTACTATACTAGGTTACTAAACTTTAATAGGTTTTTTTGATTTTTTTTAGCTTTATACAAATAGTAGCTTAATTAAGTTCTTTTAATTTAACTAGATATATTTTTTTATTTTAGTTTTTCTTTAATTATTTTCACAAATTCTTTGACTTTATTCAATTTTTGTAGACTTTATTAAGGTTTTGGTTTAAAATAAATTAATTTTTATTTGATCAATTCTTTTTAACTTCAAATTTACTTAAAATACAAAATTCAAAGAGCTAAAAATTTACTGATATTAGTAGTTTATTTTTTTAGCTTTGATTTTATTTTAATAATAACTTTTAAAATTATTTATTCTATCTGTACTATCTATTTTTATAGATTTTTAATAATAAATAAGTACTCTTTTTTTATTCTTTTCAAGTTTAGTTTTAGTAACTTTATTTTAATAAGACTAATTTATTATAATAGTATTATATTTAATTATCAATTCCTAATGAAGTCTTTCCAAATTAACTTTTTTAAGCTTTTTAGCTTCTTTTTCTTTATTCTAGATATTTAGAATTTTAAAATAAATATTGAGAACCTTAGTTATTATTATAGTTTTTAGAAAGACTTTATTAGATGAGTCTTCAAATTAAGTATTACTAATAATAGATTTTTTTTTAAATTGTAAATAATTAAAAGTAAAAAGTAAGTATACAATTTCTTGTATACTATCTTCTTTTAATATAATTTTTTCTAACTCTTCTAATATAATTTTAAGACTTCAAAGAGTTATTTATCATCAAAGTTAAAATTTTTAAAAGCTTTATAATAATACTTTTTTGAATCTGTATCATTTTACTAACAATTATTTCATTGATAGCTCATTTAGCTGATATCATAACAAGTAACAATTTACTAATAATATATACCTGAAACTAATAAAACCCTAACTCTAACCCTATATGATATTAGCTAAATTAACTTTTAGTGAAATAACTATTAGTAAAGTGAATGATACTAACTTTTTTTTAATTTTTTTCTTATATTTTTCTAATTAATTTTTCTTTTCTGTTTTTAGATATAGAACTTTAACTAAAATAATACAACTATTTATTCAAAAAGTTTTTTTCTTTATCTTTAGAACTAGTTTAAGATAACTTTAAACCTTCTTTTTAATTCTTTTTATAATTATAAATTTTCTTAAACAATTCAAAATCTGTTAGTACTTTTTAAATTTTCTTTTTTTTCTTAAATATTTTTTTAATTCTTTTTTTTTTTATTGAAAGGAGAAATAAAATATTATTTTTCTATTTTTTGATATTGCATATCTTATAGTTACTACTAAAAATAGTAGAAAAAAAATAATTAATATTAATTAACCAAAAATATAGTAATAATAATACTCAAAACAATTATAGAAATAGATTTGATTTGGTAAGATAAAACTTGTTTAAATATATTATATAAAATAATACTAAGTAGATTAGAAATACTTAAATTTTTTTAAACTTAATAATGATTCTTTTCTTTTATTAATACAACTACTAATTTTATTAAAAATAAACAATATAACTTTTTATACAAGAGAATTATATTTAAAACTTTTACTTATTATGACTAAATTATATATTAAAAAGAAAAGAATTTGCAAGTTATAATAACTAAACTTTTACTATTTAAATCTTAAAAATGTTATGTGATTATTAATAGAGCTTTGCCTTGAACCAAATCTAAGATAGCATTTGGGCTTAAAGCTTAATTTGGTCTGAGTCATAGCTTAGTTATATTTTTTACATACCTTTACTAAATCATATTTTTTCTCTAACACTAAAAAAGTCAAAAATCAACTTAACTGATATAAAAAGCATCCAGACCTTCTAACTCACTACTGCTTATTATTATTTTTCTTTATTAATTATTTTTCTTATTACTATTATTATTATTATTATATTATATGAATATATTAGCTATTTTAATTTCATACCTAAAAAATATTTCATAAAATTTTTATATAAAAAAATCTATCTTTTGATCATAGCATAGAAGATGATCTATTTTCTTATTTGCTTACAATTTAAAAAAGTTATAGTATATTTAACATATCAAAAATAAGATATCAGATAAATTCAATATATTAAATATATCTTAGAAAAAATATGATATATTAAATAAATTAGATATTAAATATTCAATATGTATTTACAAATATTACTGAAAGTATAAAAATAATACCTTTTTACCTTCAATAAAAATAATTTGGACAAGTTCAAAAACTGCAACCTTGGTAAAGTTCAGATAGCTCTAATAAGTTTGTTATTTAAAAACTAATATTTTGAAATTTGAGTAGAAGTATTGTATTCTGAATACCTTTTATAAAAATCGTTATTAATAAACCAAAAACTTGTATTATCTTACTTTAAGATTAAAACAATTACTCTTTAGATAGTTTTATTGAAAATCTCTTTGATTCCTATTGTTAAAACCAATAACCAATCATAAAAAAAATCCAGATCATATGCTATGTAACTTGAAACATCGATATAAACTAAAGTATAACCAGAATGAAAACAACTAGAAATTAGTCACAAACCAAAACTGCTAAATAAAATACTTACCCAAAGAAATCTCTAAGCAATCCTAAAACCCAGACCAAATCCTTCATGCCCTCTTTTAGCCTTCCAACTTATAGTTGATTGTTGGATTTATTGTGTTGAATTGTTAGAACCTGAATATTGGTGTAACCCAACCTCCAGACGAGTTCAGTACCAGAACCGGTTGAACCTTCTCACTGAAAATTATACTGCGGATTGTCCAAATGATCTTAGGCGAGGTCTGGCCTAGTTACATTTTTCAGCTCACAGTGTGAAATCCAACAACGTGTGCTGCAGATTATCACGTTTGACGCGGGTATGAAGATCAGTTACTTGATATGGGTATCCCAGCGATTAATTGAATTAAATCGGTTTCTTAAATATATCAGAGAAGGAGAATTTAATAGCGAAAAGGGATTTAATAATTATAATAGATAAATTAGATTAAATAAAGAAAATGTAAAAGCGAAATTTCTTCAGTAAAATAAGTCATAATTAAAATTTATTATAAATAAAAGGCCTAATTGCTCCGAGAAAATTAAGTCTCGTTTGCTTCATAAATAAAAAAAGTCCCAATTTTATTAAATAAATCGCCCATAATATTGCATTAACATTACTTCGCTGACATACTCCCTAAACCACAAGTTATAAATTGTTGTCCGTTTAACCTCTTGCTAACGTGACCAAACCTTCAGGACACTTGTGACCTAAGTAACCTGAGCCTTAATAGTCCCTCAGCCTAATCTAACGCAACCTCTTTCGAAAGTTTACTTACCCTTGGTTATGCGAGTTTTTGTATTGTTGAGCGACCGAGTCGCTGTCTTTTCTTTACTCACAACAGTATATTAGTTAGTCCAGAACCTTTGTGTAACCATACCTTCAGACGAGTTCTACCTAGAACCATCTTAGACTTTTCCAACATACTTACAAAAATTTATAATTAAAATTCATAAGCGATTAATAAGCAATTTATTATCTGACTTAAAATTTCTAATCAACCTAGAACCATCTTAGACTTTTTCAACATGCTTACAAAAATTTATAAGTAATTAAAATTCATAAGCGATTAATAAGCAATTTATTATCGAACTTAAAATTTCCGATCAAAAAGTCACTTTTATTCTCAATAATTATGCTATATCACGTAAATGGTTGGCTCAAATTTTATTTAACTTAATCATTCACGTTAAATAATCACGAAATTGGAGATTTTTGCCTATATAAAGTTATTTAATAAAATCGCTAATTTAAGTTCACATGCTAATTACATAAAAGTTATTTAACAATTGTACGTAGAGCTGCAATAATATGGTGAGTAATTAATAAGTTACTGATTTAAGATTAATGTGCGTAACGGTAATTAACAGGTTAGGTAATTATATCTGTAATTTTTAAATTTTTTAATTAAATTACATCATACTGTATAATGATCTGCAATTCATTACATAATTTATTAAACATCAATCAAATACTGTCATGACAAAATAACCAACAACCAATCAAAACAACGGGAGCAGACAAACTTACGATTGACATTTAGTAGTGTCACGGTTTAGAATACCGTAGCGCAAAAGTATCATTGGATAGGTCTCTATGGGGTGTCGCAGTGCGGTCTGATGGACCAGTTCTGCCCAAGGATAATGGGTGGCGTTGGACCAGAACTGTTCCATGGTTATTTTATTTATATATATTTTTTTTTATTTGTTTAAGAACAGAATTGTCTTATTATTTTTTGGTTTCTTTTTATTAATTTTATTTTATTTTATTTTATATTTATTTTATATTTATTTTATTTGTTTTGGAAAGACCAGAACTGTCGGGCAAGGCGCTGGGATTGCGACCAGAACTGTATAAAGTAGTTCTATGAATACCCGTTGTATAGCTATAGTATCGAGAAGGTATAAACGGGATGCCTTTTTACCTTTGAATAAAGATCAGACTTCGGTGTCTTTCGTATTAAAAAGAATCGACCTCTCAAGTGTTTATTCAGTTTTCTTTTAAAATTGTTAGTTATCGTCGTGCTATCTATAAAAATTCGCTAGTATAATCTTTGTGTGTTATCTATTAAATTAATTCCTTAACTATCCTATAATCATAAACTGTGACACCATAAATTAAATCCATCATTAATTAATAGTGATTGGATTCCTTAAATTGATAAATTACCTGATCTCGCGTGCATAAACCCATAACATAAGCCATCGTGCATGGTTCTCCTTTTGTTTATTAATCCCGATATAGATCTTAGATCCGATATCCCGTTTACTATTGAAGCTAAATTGGACCAATATTTGTTTTTGCTCTCCCATCAATAGTAATAGTAGTATAAGATTAGCAAAATTTCAAAACTATTTTTTTGATTCAATTTTTTATAAATAGCAATTGTTTCTTTGAATTTGTCCAGGTTTTGTCATTTTGTCAGCAAGTACAAAAATTTTATTAAAACACTAATCTTTTAAATATCAAAATACTTTAAATTTAAAAAATTTTGTAAAAAGCACTAGTATCTTTAAAGACGGAAATAAACAAAATTCCGATATTAAATCTCAGGTAAGGCTTTCAGTGCATCAATAAAACTATCAACATTATAAATTGGTGGGAGTATTTACTACTGTGCAATGAAGCAACGGATTTTATATATAAAAAAATTTCTGTTAAATTATTGTTATCGTGATACAGTAGTAAATTAATAGTAATTAATGAAGCTGTGAAATTGTGAAATTTGCATGATAACTAGGGAAACTTCTTATGTATTAAATAGAATAAACAACTGAAAAACATATTTACCCTTTATAAATTATTAGCATCAAGTGAACAATTCATATGACTTCAATAACATGGAATATTAATGATAAATCCGCTCTTATAAATGCGGATTCAAACGGACTTGGTGTAAATTATACAAGTAAGAACATACATTATTACTATATGTATTTTTATGAGTGTGTATCAAAAATCACTTGAAAATTCATAATTATCTCTTATCAAGATATCTTTAATATAAAATCATAAAAATATTAAGGCCAATAACTTTACTATCTTGATAATTTTTTTTCTTAAAAAGGTTATGGCGGAATTAATGAAGATGTTGCAATTCGTACGGATAACCCAATTCCGTTACAATGCAAATTGTTTTACTTTGAAGTTGATATTATAAATAATGATGAAAATGGAGAATATGGGTAAGATGCAAAACATCTGGCGACATCAAATAAGATTTGTTTCCTTATAATTTCTTAAATCTTTCATGAAGAATTATTGCAATCGGATTTTGCACAAAATTAGCTGAGCTAAATAAATTACCCGGTAATTATGAAATTTAATTTTATTAGCCATTATCAAATATTCATATCATTTACTACACATTCGTAGGGTGTGGTAAGAACTCATGGGGATACCATAGCGATGATGGAAAATTTTTTGATTGTTCAGAGCTCGAAGAACCATATGGCCCTACGTTTAAAACTGGAGATACTATTGGATGCTGTTTAAACTTTAGACATAACACTATATTATATACCAAAAATGGCGTGAATCTAGGTAATTATTTTTAATTCCTAATTTGTTGAGGGATAAAAGTTAATGATTTTTTTACACCTTTTTTTAAGGAATTGCATTTCGAGACTTAAAAGATGAAAAAGATTTAGAGAATAACCCTTATTATCCTTGTATTGGAATAAGATTAAAAAGCGGGTCTTTATCTATAGAGGCGAACTTTGGAGATAAAGAGTTTAAATATACAGGTATAATAAATATATTTTATATGGCATTGAATATTTACATATCTAATTTCTTTTTAAATTATTACCTTCATTAATAGCAATAACTGGTGATGATATTGATGATGACGAATCATTAAAAGATAAATGGATTAACGTTAAAGCTCTTATTCAATCCAATACTGAGGATAAAAAAATAATTGATGATTTTATAAAGCCATTAGAAGAAATTAACCAAAAAAATATTGTTGCAAAGGCTTATTTTATTATGGGAAAATACTATGAAACACTTAAAGTTTTAACCGAATTGCTTGAAACTGAGCCAAACAATGCATTCGCGTTAAAATATCGAGGAGAAACTTATTTTATATTGAATAAATATGAAGAATCAAGTGCGGACTTAAAAAAATTATTAGAAATAAACAAAGATGATGAATGGGCATTAAAAGCCAGTGGTGAAATTAATAGGCGGTAGTTATTGTTATAGAATTTTATTCATATATATAAAAATAATTATTATATTTTATTGTCAGCAAAAATAGAACTAACTATTAATTATTCGTTCTCTATTATCTGTTTTATATTAATAGTGAGTAAGTGTTGAATTTTATTCATATATATAAAACCAATCATTACATTTTATTGTCAGCAAAAATAGAATTAACTATTAATTATTCGTCTCTATTCTGTTATCTTATACTAAACTAATAGATGGTAAGTGTTTAATTTTATTTATATATATAAAAATAATCATTATATTTTATTGTCAGCAAAAACAGAAGTAACTATTGATTATTCGTTCTCTATTCTGTTATCTGTTTTATATTAATAGTGAGTAAGTATTGAATTTTATTCATATATATAAAAAATAATTATTATATTTTATTGTCAGCAATTAGCAAAAATAGAATTAACTATTAATTATTTGTTCTTCATTCTGTTATCTGTTTTATCTATATGTTAAATTAAAAGAGCGTAAGTGTTGAATATTATTTATATATATAAATTAATCATTATATTTTATTGTTAATAAAAATATAATTAACTATATAATTAACTATTAATTATTCATTCTCTCTATTCTGTTATTTTATACTAAAACTAATAGACGGTAAGCATTGAATTATATATATATATATATATATATATATATAATCATATTTTATTATTAGCAAAAATAGAATTAGCTATTAATTATTTATTCTCTATTTGGTTATCTGTTTTATCTATATGTTAAATCAACAGGGTGTAAGTATTGAATTTTATTCATATATATAAAAATGATTATTATATTTTATTATCAGCAAAATAAAATTACCTATTAATTTTAATAGTGAGTAAGTATTGAATTTTATTCATATATATAAAAATAATCATTATAATTTATTGTTAGCAAAAGTAAAATTAACTACGTATTAATTATTCATTCTTTATTCTGTTATATTATACTAAACTAATAGACGGTAAGTGTTAAATTTTATTCATATAATTATTGTACATTATTGTTAGCAAAAATATAATTAATATTAATTATTTGTTCTTGATTCCGTTATCTGTTTTATCTATATGTTAAATTAACAGTTTGTAAGTATTAAATTTTATTTATATATAATCATTATGTTTTATTGTGAGCAAAAATAGAATTAACTATTAATTATTCATTCTCTATTCTGTTATCTTATACTAATAGACGGTAAGTATTAAATTTTATTCATATATAAATAATTATTATATTTTATTATCAGCAAAAATATAATTAACTATTAATTATTTGTTTTTTATTTTGTTATTTTATACTAAACTAATAGACGGTAAATGTTAAATTTTATTTATATATATAAAAGAATAATTATATTTTATTATTAGCAAAAATAGAATTAACTATTAATTATTTTTTCTCTATTTTGTTATCTGTTTTATCTATATGTTTAATAAATAGTGCGTAAGTATTGAATTTTATTTATATATATAAAAATAATTATTATATTTTAATATTAACAAAAATATAATTAACTATTAATACTTTTTCTTTATTCTATGTTCTGTTTTATATTAATAGTGAGTAAGTGTTGGATTTTATTCATATTTATAAATAATTATTATATTTAATTGTTAGCAAAAATAGAATTAACTATTAATTATTCATTCTTTATTCTGTTATCTGTTTATCTATATATTAAATTAATAGGACGTAAATGTTAAATTTTATTTATATATATAAAAATAATTATTATATTTAATGTAAGCAAAAATATAATTAACTATTAATTATTTATTTTCTATTCTGTTATCTTATACTAAACTAATAGACAGTAAGTATTGAATTTTATTTATATATATAAAAATAATTATTATATTTTATTGTCAGCAAAAATAAAATTAACTATTAATTATTCATTTTTTGTTCTGTTATCTGTTTTATATTAATAGTGAGTAAGTATTGAATTTTATTTATATATACAGTATAAAAATAATTATTATATTTTATTGTCAGCAAAAATAAAATTATCTATTAAATATTTATTCTCTTTTCTGTTATCTTATACTAAACTAATAGACGGTAAATGTTGAATTTTATTCATATATATAAAATAATCATTATATTTTATTGTCAGCAAAAATATAATTAACATTAATTATTCATTCTCTATTATATTATCTGTTTTATCTATATGTTAAATCAACAGTATGTATGTATTAAATTTTATTCATATATATAAAAATAATCATTATATTTAATTGTCAGCAAAAAATTAAATTAACTATTAATTATTTGTTTTCTATTCTGTTATCTGTTTTATATTAATAGTAAGTAAGTGTTGAATTTTATTTATATATATATATATAAATAATCATTATATTTTATTGTTAGCAAAAGTAGAATTAACTATTAATTATTCATTCTTATTTTATACTAACCTAATAGACGGTAAGTATTGAATTTTATTTATATATATATAAATAGTTATTATATTTTATTGTCAGCAAAAATAGAATTAACTATTAATCATTCATTTTCTATTCTGTTATTTTATACTAAACTAATAGACGGTAAGTATTAAATTTTATTCTTTTATATAAAAATAATTATTATATTTTATTGTTAGCAAAAATAATTATTATATTTTATTGTTAGCAAAAATAGAATTAATTGTTAATTATTCATTCTCTATTTGGTTATTTATTTTATCTATATGTTAAATCAACAGTTTGTAAGTGTTGAATTTTATTCACATATATATATAAAATTATTATATTTTATTATAAGCAAAAATAGAATTAACTATTAATTAATTATTTTTTATTCTATTATTTGTTTTATTGTTAGCAAAAATATAATTAACTATTAATTATTTGTTTTTTATTCTATTATCTTATATTAACTAATAGACGGTAAGTATTGTATTTTATTTATATATATAAATAATTATTATATTTTATTATCAGCAAAAATATAATTATTAATTATTTTGTTCTCTATTCTGTTATCTGTTTTATATTAATAGTGAGTAAGTATTAAATTTTATTTATAAATATAACAATAATTATTATATTTTATTGTTAGCAAAAATAGAATTAACTATAAATTAATTATTCTCTATTCTGTTATTTTATACTAAACTAATAGACGGTAAGTTTGAATTTTATTTATTTATATATATAAAATAATCTTTATATTTTATTATCAGCAAAAATAGAATTAACTATTAATTATTCATTTTTTATTTTGTTATCTATATATTAAATTAATAGGGCGTAAGTATTAAATTTATTCATATATATAAAAATAATTATTATATTTTATTGTTAGCAAAAATAGGATTAACTATTTATTATTTGTTTTCTATTCTGTTATCTATTTATTTATATTTTAAATCAATAGTTTGTAAGTATAAAATTTTATTCATATGTTAGCAAAATATAATTAACTATTAATTATTTGTTCTCTATTCTGTTATCTTATATTAAATTAATAGACGGTAAGTGTTAAATTTTATTTATATATATAAAAATAATTATAATATTTTATTATAAGCAAAATTAGATTAACTATTAATTATTCATTCTCTATTTTGTTATTTGTTTTATCTATATATTAAATCAATAGAGCGTAAGTGTTAAATTTTATTTATATATATAAAAAAATGATTATTATATTTTATTGTCAGCAAAAATAGAATTAACTATTAATTATTTGTTCTATATTCTGTTATTTGTTTTATATTAATAGTGAGTAAGTATTGAATTTTATTCATATATATAAAAATAATTATTATATGATATTATTAGCAAAAATAGAATTTACTATTAATTATTGTTTTCTATTTTGTTAACTTATACTTAAACTAATAGACGGTATATATAAAAATAATTGATATTTTATTGTTAGTAAAATAGAATTAACTATTAATTATTTATTTTCTATTCTATTATTTGTTTTATCTATATGTTAAATTAATAGTTTGTAAATATTGAATTTTATTTATATATAGATATAAAAATCATTATATTTTATTATTAGCTAAAATAGAATTAATTATAATTATTTATTCTTTATTCTGTTATTTTATACTAAAATAATAGACAGTAAGTGTTGAATTTTATTTATATATATAAAAATAATTATTATATTTTATTATTAGCAAAAATAGAATTATTATATTTATTATTAGCAAAAATAAAATTAATTATTAATTAGTTATTCTTTATTTTGTTATTTTATACTAAACTAATAGACGGTAAGTATTAAATTTTATTCAAATATATAAAAATAATTATATTTAATTATTAGCAAAAATAGAATTCTATTAATTATTTATTCTTTATTCTGTTATCTGTTTTATCTATATATTAAATTAATAGATCGTAAGTGCTGAATTGTATTTATATATATAAAATGATCATTATATTTTATTATTAGCAAAAATAGAATTAACTATTAATTATTTATTTTCTATTCTGTTATCTGTTTTATCTATATATTAAATCAATAGAGCGTAAGTATTGAATTTTATTCATATATATAAAAATAATTAATATATTTTATTTTTAGCAAAAATAGAATTAACTATTAATGATTCATTCTCTGTTCTGTTATACTAATAGACGGTAAGTATTTAATTTTATTTATATATATAAATATAAAAATAATTATTATATCTTAATGTTAGTAAAATAGAATTAACTATTAATTATTTATTTTCTATTCTGTTATCTGTTTTATATTAATAGTGAGTAAGTATTAAATTTTATTTATATATATAAAAATAATTATTATATTTTATTGTTAACAAAAATAGAATTAACTATTAATTATTCATTCTCTATTCTGTTATCTGTTTTATCTATATATTAAATTAATAGAGCGTAAGTATTGAATTTTATTCATATATATATAAATAATTATTATATTTTATTATTAGCAAAAATAGAATTAACTATTAATTATTTGTTCTCTATTTTGTTATCTATTTTATCTATATGTTAAATCAACAGTATGTAAGTATAAAATTTTATTTATATATATAAAAATAATTATTAT